CACACCACGGAACTGGTCCCGGAGTTGAGCCTTGAAACTCACCCAGTCCTGTATGTTGGTGAACACAGGACTGTTCAGCACTGACCAGGCATATCTGCTAACTCTGCTGCGTGCCATGCGGATGTAAGCCTCGGTGGCAGGCCGGGCCGAAAACTCAATACTGGATATCCAGGACTCCAGCTCCTGACTTCGCTGAATGCCCTGGGAGGCAGGCGTCTCACTACAAAAGACGGGCACCTCATCACGTCCACTGGCCAGTGTAGAGTAAGGACCGGCATGACTACACGGTTGAGCTGGCTCTGACTGGAAGTAGGGCATTGTACAATTCACAGCTGCTGGAGGCGCCATGTATAGATGGGCAGGGGGCTCTGAGACCGGTGTAGCTTGCTGCAGGTGCGGCCCATACTGTGTCGGCTGAGGCAGCACTGAGGGTTGCGGATGGGCCGCAGGCCCTGGTATGGACCCGACAACATGGGTGGTGGTGGTTGCAATCCGGCTGCAGAGGAGGAAGCTGGCTCTCTGGAGGTAGCAGCTGCAACCCACTGGTGCCCTAGGGTGTCTCTCCTATCTCCTGCATCAGCATCTGGCTGGCCACCCAACACAGGAACCAAGTACGAGGCTACAGGTGCAGGATGTTGCGTACTTACAGTCACAGGTGGAGGCAGACGAGGCGGCTGCTCAGCGACCTCCTCACTACGAGGCTGAAGGGTTGACAAGGGTGGTAGCGTAGCAGCAGCAGCTGTCACCATCCCTTCGGCAGCGGTGGACGGTGTGGGCTGCTGGCTCTTCAGGAGAGTCGCCAATGCCTGCATCTGTGACTGCATGCGGGTCAGCTGGTCCCCTATCTGCGCACCCAACCAGTCCATAAGCCGGGCTTCCAACTCAGCCAGTTGCGCTTGCGGCAGCTCTAAGCCACTAGCCGCAACAGCCCGCGCATCTTGCAGCACACCTCCCGAAGCCATGGGTGGTTCAGCCTCAAGTCCTGCGTCCTCCGGGGTCGGTGGGCGAGACCCTGGCTGCGAGGTCTTACTGCGGGGCATGGCAGTCAGCGACTGTGAGCTGTGGGGCCGTGAAGTGCGTAACCGCAAACTATACTGGGCTGGCCCACAGCCCTCCACATCGCACTGAAAAATATCACTGCACTTTAGGCACAACACACTGGCGGTAACTCAACACCCTGCGGACAAAGCATCTTTCACTCAACACGGTTCACAAGCAGAGGCACCACAGAAATAAATAAAATAAATAAAAAGTTGATAAAAACAAACAGTTCACAAAGGTATGCACTACACAAGTAAAACAATACCAAAGTTCATAAAAACAAAGAGCACTGGTAAAACAAATAAAACATAAAAAGGCAAAAATGGCAAAATGACAAAGGTTAAAATGGGTACTGGCCGGACCTAAAGCACACAAGTAAAACAGAATAAAAAAAACAATAAAAATACATAAAATGAACCCTGAGAAAATCAGAAAAAGCAGCAGTAAAACCTGTTAAAAGCAATACAAGTACCCACTAAAACAAAAATCGAAAAAGCCGTAAAATGAAACGTGAGAAAATAAAAGCAAGATGCAGTAAAACCTGCTAAAAATACAATTACCCATAAAAGTTAAAGTGAACAGCTAGACAAACCAATAAAAAAAAAAAAAAAACCAAAAAGTCAAGTATAAAACAAGAAAAAATTAAACCCCATGACATTTACCTAAAAATTAATACTAAACCCCATGACATTTAAGTAAAACAATTAATACTAATACCTCATGAAATTTAAGTAAAAGAATTAATACAATAAAAACAAGGCGCGGGCAGGGATGTAAACAAAAACCCTATCCCTCCCTAGCCACCACGAATCTGTAGCGGGGTTAAGTGTGGGGGCACCGACACTCACCTTACTACAGGAGCTGACGAGTAATCCTCGGACCGTAGAGAAGATGTGGGGATGGGCATGGGGAAAAGCCGGCCATTTCTACCTCCTACAGGAGTGTGATACAAACTGTTCATGCAAACGGCTTTATTTACGAGCACTATCACTACTACAGCCTCGGTATCACAGATTCAGACACGTGAAAATCACTGGAAAACAGGTAGCGCAGCAGTACATTACAAAATATCACGAAATGCACAAATATCAAAGTCAGGAATCCTCCCAGCCCACACTCACACCTCTCCATAGTCAAGGTGACCGCCAACTGCCCTCTGTGGCGACTCCATGGCGCGTCACGGCAGGAGTAGCCAAGTATCCAAATTGTAAAAGAGTTTGTGGGGGTTAAACGAGCTCCTATCGGACCCAAAACTTACAATGTATACTTCTGGAGGTGGGGCGTTTAGAAAAAGGGCAAGGGCTTGCCAAAAGGGCATCAGAAAAGGCATTAAAAATAAAAGTGAACACCCCAAGTGGGCAACACGACCACCCGTTCGCATAAGCGAATCCATGAATCCGGGCGCGTTCGTGTAACTAAAAATACTTAACTCTACAAAACAATGCCAGTATATCGCATT